GGTAGCTCTTAAATGGCGAGCTTCTGGCACCAGCTCTGTCCTCTCAAGGCCTTGTCCACTCACTGTCTTGGTTTCCTCCTCGAAACGGGAGGATCACACCCAGTTCCAACCTCTCAGGTTATTTCGTGAGACTCCACTGAGATCATACCTGCAAAGTGGAGGGCCCTACAGTACGTGTCCAGTCTGGAAGGCAGATCGCCTTCTTGCTAAGATTATTCAGCCTAACAGGGAGCCTCATGGTGAAGTGGGATCGGTACCGGCTTCGCAACTCGTGATGGGAGCGGGCGGCTACCCCTCCCTGTGCAAGATGGGGTTATACCTGGCTGGCTGAGGACAGACAAGGCGGAGAGCCATGGGGATGCTGCCCGGCACACAGGTGGCACTCAGTAAGTGGTGGCAGCTGTCATGGTCATCGTTGTTGGCTCTTACTGCTGTTGCTGTTGTTGGAGGCTGAGTCATCCTGACAACAACGTGAAAGCGTATGCCTGCTGGATGACTCGGGAGGAAGCCTGCTTAAGTCGCAAGCCCTTCGTGGGAAAACGTGGAAGTCAAAACCACCGTCGTTGTCAAAAGGAGGCAGGCGTGTGTGAGCCAGAAAGATGGCACAGCACTTCAGAGTTCTAGCCTTAATTCTGTGCCCTTAACAGGTAGCATCACCCCTACTGTGCATCATTCACTCATTCATTCCTCCATCCATTTAACAAAAATAGTACTGAGCATCTATTAAGGACCAGGCACTGTTTCAGGCACTGGGCCACAGAGGGGAACAAGACAGTGGTGGTTTCTGATTCCTGGAGTTCAGGTCTGGAGGAGGACATGGACATGGCGTGGACCATGACCACGAGTGTGATGAGCACCAAAGAAGGGGAGGAGGCAGTACAGGGGGGTGACCCAGGAGCCCAGAGGAGGCCTCCAACCCAGTCTGGGTAGTCAGTCTCAAATTCCTGTTCTAGCAAAGGAACAAAAATAGGTACCTGCCTGGCTTCTCGCAGGGAAGATGTGAAATCCTCAGTCACTGACTTGCGCAGTAAGTGAGGGCTATACCATTGAGAATGTGTCTGGAGAAGGACTTGGTAATTGGTTTTTCAGGTTGGAATTTTGGGAGAGGGGGAAAGGAGGCAATATTGAATTAACAAACTGTACACTAATAATGACAGCAATTATTAATTAAGTGGGTACTTTGAGCAAGTTCATTAAAAAATTAAAACCCTCCATAGATTGGTAAATGTTGATGTCATCCCCCACAAGGGCCTCTGCTGCTTGGGACCCTCCCTTCAATTCAGCAAATAAAGGGTTAAAGGCTGGCCCAGCAGGGGAGTCCCTTGGGATCCTGCTTCTGCTTTTCTGATTGGCTGATACTCAACTGTTAAATATATTAAGCATTACTCTGGACAGTATTACCGTCACTTTTTTATACATGGGGAAACTGAGGCACAAGAGAGTGAAGCTGCTTGCACGAGGTTGTGCAGCCAGCAAGTGAAAGAGCCAAGATTTGACCCTCGCACTCAGATTTCAAGCTGTTGGGCCTGGGTGCAGAAATGTTGCCTGGGACCCGCTGGAGATTCACGGAAACAGGAGACTTGGCCCTGTCCTCAGAGGACTTACAATCCAGGGAAGGGAAGTTCTTCATAAGAGCAGTCGGAGGAACATCTGGGGAAAAGAGTGATTCTCTCTGAAGTTCTGGGAAGAGAAGGAGAGACCAGGCGGTCTTGCTGGAGGAGGAGCCATTGAGGTAGCAAGGGAGGGGCTCAGCCAGGAGGGGACTTGGGAGGGGTCTCTGTTGTGTGGATAGAAAGCTCCTGGGGATGTTTCCTGCCCTAGAGGAAGTGGAAACGCTGTGCTTTTGTTTTCCTGAGAAGGGAAGGATCCCTCCCTGGCTCACTCAGGACGAATCAGCTGCTGCCTCAGTTTCCCCATTTCTAACAACGATGTTTGTACCCTCTACATCCTCCCACACTTCTCTTTTTCTCCTCCTGGGTTTGTCAAGGAACAACGTAGTGTTGGCAGAAGAGCCCAGGACCGGGTTCTGGTCTGCCTCAGTTTCCTCATCTGTCAAATGGTGTGATCGAAAATTATGATAATATGAGTAAGTTCCAGGGACAGCAGAGCATACGGTCAAGACCCTGGGTTTAAATTACAGCCTCCACCGCTTCCCTGCTGGGTGGCACTGGGCCAGTTACCGCCCCTCTCTGTGCCTCACTCCCCTCCTCCATGAAGGAGACAATGATTATAGCGCATACCCTGTACAGTGGCCCTGATGATGAAAAGACTTAATACTTGTAAAACACCCAGCCCTGCCGCTCCCAGTCAGTGCTCATCGTCTGTCCTAGCCCCATGGACCGGAGCAGAGGCCTCACCGTGGGCCAGGCATTGTGCTACCAACTTACAGTGTGACTCTGGGCGAAGCTGGCTCTCATTGTCCTCAACTGTCACATTAAGTGTGTGCTAACTGCATGTTAAGCACAGAGGTAAGCGCTTTATATGCATGATTTCATACAATGCTCATGACACCCCTGTGAGGTCTGCACTATCATTATTTCCTTTTGCAAATGATGAAATGGAAGCTTCACACGCCATAATCTTGGCCCAACCTGTGTCATCGAGAAGCTCTAATAAGTTAAAAAAAGTACCTTGGGAGGTTTAAAGTCCTGCATCTCTTCAAAGAATGTTTGCTGTGAAATTCAGTTTCTACATCATCGTAAGTTACTGTTTTGTATCTTTGAATAGGAATTGGAGCTAATGTTTCTCCAGGATTGACTAGAAGCACATCAGCATTTTAGATGCACTCTCTGCGTGCTACCTCACTGACTCTCACAGACAGGGAGACATCATTATTGGCTCCATTTTACAGATGTGGAAACTGAGGCACAGAGAGGTGAAGTCACTTACCCAAGATCACACAGCTGCAATGCAGTCAGGCAGAAATTCTACCCCAGGGAGAAGGCAGGGAGTTTGGGTCTGGGAGTGAGCAGAGATCACCCTGGGTTTGTTTATTCCTGAAATACTTTCCATCACCCCACTTCAGATAAAACCGAACACACCTCTTTTCCCAGGGCCTCGACCCAAAACTGCACAGCAAGGTCAGTATTTTCTTACCATGCAAATATTTCTATTCGCTATTTAATGACCCCACCCATCGACATGCACCCTTCAGATCTGTCTGTCCCTAGGCTCACGGTAGTGCTGGAGTTCAAAGGGACATTCGGTTTCCCTCAGGAGACCCCGATGCAGGGCACAGTTGAAGCGCCTCTCATGCCAGCTGCCTTTGATGCCTGGAATTGCATTCTCTGTGCCCAGTGGCTCTGGCATGCCAAGTGTCGTTTGCCGGGAACAATGTGGTGCCCTGTCTCCCACATGTGTACACACATACTGGCACGCACATACTCACAATCCCTGCACACATGAGCGTGGGCTGGGGAGGCTATGCGATGCACATGCACACACAAAATACACAGACTCCGAATCTTGAGCGAGTTCACGTTCATAAACCTGGAGCAGAGGTGTCGCAGCCTCAATGACACGCGAGGCTTCTGTTAGATCACACGGTAAAACAGAAGCCCAGTTTCTCTTCCAAGCACTCTTGTCTCTTTTTCCAAATAGAGCTAAATTTGGCATTAGTCTGTGTCCCCACCCCCATATCATAACATCAAACACTGTGTTGCAGTATATATGACAGTAAAAACTCATTCGCGTCCTTAATATATCTGTTGCCTGTCTCAAAGCATCATTTTTACAGATGATGCAATATTAGTAATATTTTTTGGCCATTATGTCATAGGCTTGACCACTAGCAGAGGACAGGATAAACTGGTACTAGTTAAAACATTCAAAGTGCTGGCCGGGTCCTGCTTTCAAAAGTGCAACTCAGCTAAAAATACGTGTCACTGAGGTCTGCTGTGGGAAAGCACACCATTTACCTAACCCGAGGCATTTGGCCCCACTCCGGTTTTCAAAAAAGAAAGAAAGAAAGAAAAACTCTCAGGTTTATTTACTGAAATTGTCATTTCTTCCCCCCTAGAACTTTAATCAGCCACGCAGAGCACAAAACCTACATTCAGCTCTGATTTTATGACACGAGGCTAACTCCTCCTACGCATATTTATTCCACTTAACTCTTGCAGCCCTGCCCTCTGGGCAGTGCCCCCCGCTATTTGCAGGTCTAGCCTCTGAAAAACACATCACTTCGCCCGGTATCCACTTTTAAAGCCCGATTCATTAGTGTACAGCCGACACCCCTCCACAATCCCAACCAGATGGGATATTTTCATATCATATTCGTATATGTTAAGCCCCTCCCATAAGATCCAAGTAGCATGATTCCAGGGCTAAGTCCAAGAGGAGGGAAAAAGAGACAGAAACACAAAAAGTAGAGTGTAATCAGATCGCAAAACAAACTGATGGTACATTGCACTTTAAAGGGGGAGCTGGAGGACTGTATCCATCAGGCACATCAAAAAGGGGAAAGAAAATTGTTTAAATGTCCCAGAGCATCTGTTGCTGTAACTGTTAAAAAGCAAAGTCTTCATTACTAGACTTACTAGATAGTAAAATGCCAAGCCTGTTCTCCTAAAAGAAAAAAAAAGCTACATGATGATGGTAAGAATATAATAATAATAATACAGCTGACTGGCATCTGCTGTCAAAAGCCGAGCGCGGAAATGGTTAAGCAGCCCGCGGTTAGTAGCGAGAATCCCTCCCGGTGTCCCATGGAGGGGACAATCCTTGTGACAGACTGGCCTGGGGAATCCCGCCTGGGGACACTTCACTGCCCCCGCGTGATGCGGTCTGAAGTCGGCTCCCCCGTCTCCCCTCCTTGGCCAGGGCGAGGGCGCCTCTCCTCCCGGCCCGCCACGCTACCTGTGCGCCCTGGGAAACCGGAGTCCCCGGGCCTCCCCACGACCTCAGCCAGGAGCTGAAAGCGCTGCCCGGGAAAAGAGCAGAAGGGAAAGGGCTGGGAGGCGGGAGGAGGAAGCGGCCGGAATAGAGGGCGAGTCAGTTACCTTGGTCCACAGACCCCATGATGCGGAGGGGATGGCAGTGCCCCAGTCTGAACGCAGCCTCTCTCTGCATCCTGGAGGGGATGGGGGCTTGGCGCGCGGGGTGAGAGGGGTCTGTTTGGGTAGACCAGGAGCCAAGGGGGCCCGTCCTCTCTAAAGCATGCTCGCG